TCTACTATCACTAAGTATATCCATTAGAAAGCATCCTTGGGGCTGGAGAAATAGAGCATCCTTGGGGCTGGAGATGTAGGTCAGTGATAAAACATTTCCCTAACACACACATTAAACCTACCTGAAATGCTTCCTTAATGTCCACTGTCACTTTCTGTTTCTTAAATCTTGCTTACCAAGACTTCAAATGAATGCCACTGCAAACCTAACTCCCAATGGAAAGAGCGATACCACACCAGGAAAGACAGGAGCCACTTATACAAGAATGAGGGTGGGTTCAAATTGGTTCATTCGGAGGATATCTATATGAAGTTACCATACAGACTCAGAATGTATGACTCAGAATGAAAGTGTTCAATGTTGTCTTATACTGTAGGTTTGTCTACTGAAGACAAGCAGGCATACACATACATACATACACACAAACATTTGATTATATTCACATAAAAGAACTATGCTTTATTCAGATTTCAAAACAAATTTGGTTTCACATTCTTCAACATTTATGTTTTAACCTCACTAAAATTTCAGTTACTCACAGCTACCAAATATACAAAATATAAAATAACATAGCAGATAACATTTTATGATGTCACTTATTATATGATTAGTAAGCATATTTGAGAAAGAAACTGACTCTCAAGAACACAAGTTGATATAGCTACTGAACCACTAGAAGACAGAGGTTAATAGTTAGACTCAACAGCTAAAATTAAAATAAACCATTGACCAGTGAGTTGGAACCATAGCTCATATTTTGTGGTCATTAACTTACATCATGACCCTTTCAGAGGCATCTTTCAAAGTTCCCCTATTAAAAGTCTAAAGGAAAAGTGACTAGCATTTTAGATGCAAAGAATCTTCCTGGATACTCTGGTCACTTCATTTAAAACCCTGCAACTTCCTGTTCAGCCAGCCCTTCTAAACCCTCCCTTGATTTAATTTGAATATTGGCAAGCTACCATCATGAGGCTTCATAATTCAATCTTTACTCTCTAGTAAATTTGAATTTCTATTTCGACAAGTTTTAACTTGCTTAAAAATGGAGTAGCTACGGAAAACTAGAACTGATTCAAACAGGCAAGGCATGGCTCTCCACTGTGGCAGATCTACTGGAGAAACAGTTTTGTTACTTTGATTACACTGTTTCAGTCTTTTTAACTACCATTAAGTACTGTCCTTTAGTGTAAAGGCTGTTTGCTGAAGGTTCACTGTAATGCAATTAACTAAGCAACATTTGTCCTCTGTCACTCAGTGGCACTTCTTTATAATAATCCAGGTTTAGCAACCACCAGTGCAATCATTTTCTTCTGCCTAGAGTGTGTGAGACCCCTCCAGATTGCAACATGAAGCATGAAGCATCTGGAACTCTTCATCTCTGCAAAGCCCAAGTTAGAAAAGACAGAGTCAGTTTGTAGAAAGGGTACAGGTCTCTTTTAAAGAGGTATATTTCAAAGACTGACAATAAAGTAGTTTTTTGTTTTTGTTTTGATTTTTTTTAATGGGTTCTTTCCTGAAGCAAGGTGAACAAGTACTAGTACATTTAGTTTTAGAATCACAAATGTTAAATTGAAACCTTTAAAATATCGGTGACTGATCCATTACAATTTCAGCATTTGGTGAACCTGAAATTCCCTTGGAAATTTTTATAATTTCATTTGCTGTGAGACTCAACTATTAAGCAGATTTAGAATGAAACTGACCCCAAATACACATTCTCAACTGGTAAAGCAACTGAGTGACTGGAAGCCAGAGGTCAGTGGGTGGACTTGCAGCTGAATTCTTTACAGCCCAGTGTTTAGTGCAAAATAAATTAATACTGTCAGACACTAAACAGAACAAAGCAGCACCAATGAAAATGTTAACCAAAGACTTTTACAAACTACAGATTTGCTGCACATTAAGTCTGCATAGCACGAAGAGGTCAGATAGTTAGTGTCTCACAGCTTAGTGCCCCAAGTACTGTCATACCCCCAGAAATACATGCTGACTCCACAGCACACATTGATAACTCTGTATTCATCAGAGAAATGACAATCTAGAAGAAATATCCAGGGTGGTACTAATTTCCTCTATTCTACCAACGGCTGAATAACCAGTTCTCAGTAATCAGCCCTAGAATGACAAAACACTGACAGCAAGCCCCCATTCCAATATTTTATAGTTCTGTTCTCTCAACTTCTGACTTCAAATTCATAAGAAGAAAAAAAAATTGCCTGATGCTTTCTGTTGTAATCTACGATAAAAGTAGTAAGGAGAACTACATTAGTAAAATTTTAAAACTTGTACTATGATGAGGCTCTAACGGGATAATTTAAGTGCCACCTATCCAGCCATCTAAAATCAGAATCAATACAAGCTTCTTTGTAGGTATATAATTATACGACTATTATTCAGGGTTATATTATCTATTTGGTAATTACATAAAGAATACAGAAAAAATATAATTTTGTAGCCTATTGGCTAAGAAATTGAACCAAATTAAAATGATGTAGACACAAAATAACATGAGACACACTTTGTTGTACACTAATTTGAAAACAAATACAAAGAAACTTAATTGTTTAAAAAGAAGTATACAATTTTAGTATTTTTTCATTAAATGTTTTCAAGAATCAGGGGGTTTTTATGTATTTGTGTTTTGGTTTTTTTATTTGTTTGGATTTTTTGTTGATTTTTTTTTTTTTTTTTTTTTTTAAGAAAGATTGGTGAATGTGTAACAAAATGCCAGTTTCCATTGCTTTGGCCAATTCAAACTACCAGATGTTTACTGGACACCTACAGTTCATATACTTTGTGTATATGCTAAGGAATTTAAAAATGAATGTGATGTGTCTGCTTACAGAATTTACATTTCCCTAATGGGGGGACAAAAACAATGAATAGCAGCTCTAAGTACGAGAAAGAGAATGTTAATGACCAAAGAAAACTTTGTGTGTGTGTGTGTGAGTGAGTGGTGGCAGAGGATAAGTATTTTGTGCTAAAGACCCTGCTAGAAGCAAGACATAGACATCAAGTATTTTCTTCAATTGCCCCCACTTTATTTCTTGAAGAAGTGCCTCTCATTGGAACTGACCCTGATCCATTTAAGACTGATGACCAGTAATCCAGGAGAATTCTTTCCTCCACCTCCCAGGCACGGGGATAGGTGCAAACACACCATTTCAGGCTTTTACATGGGTGCTGGGGATCTGAACTCAGGTTCCCAATCCTCCTTAGCAAGTACTTGACCAATTGAGCCAAGTCCATATCACTAAGTCCAACATAATATTATTACTGTGTTTAAGGAAAATCAAGTAAATGTCAACAAATCTAAATAGAGTTAGTGCATGATACAGACTAAACTGGATACAGGGTCCTGGTGGGATTTCAACCAATATTCAAGAGTATCATAGGAATATAATTAAGGTAACCAAGGAGTGGATGAAGCACAGTGAAGAGGGAATGACTATCATTTCATATAACTTTCTGACTGATCTATTTTCATATGTGTAGAGACTTTAAGTTCCATATATCCTCTAAATATTCCAATCTGATTGCCAATCTTTTTTCAATTTCTTAGAGGAAATGCATTAACTAATACTTACTGTCTTTCAAGGTATTGGAATAGCCGACATGTTTACTTGCATTCAATTAGTAACTATACTTGCCTAGACAATCAATGCAAGAGGCTGTGGGCCGCTACTGACATGTCTCCTCTTCACTATAGCTTGCCAAGGCCTCCAGGCACGCACCGTTCTCTACATTGAGAGTCAAACGCAGGTTGTGAGCTACTTCTGGTGTGTGTCCTTAACATATTTAATTCTGAATAATAATTTATATCTGTATATAAAAATATATCTGTTAAAGAAAGTGAAAATTTTATGAATTCATGAGATGGACAAATCGCTAGGCTTGTAAAAGTGACTGACATAACTAATTTGACATTTGAAGTCACTTCAGAAGCTACAAGGAAATAATACTGTTGCTTGCTTCCCCTTGACTCCACCCTCCTCCCAACAACCAAAACAACCAAAAAAGAAAAGAAAAACACTAACATAACTAGTCTGAAGGAGGGAGGATAAAACAGGGGGTGGGTTCGTTCTCATTTCCTTTTTTTTTTTTTTCTGTGACTCCCCCTCCCCATGCAGAGACAGAATTGCTATGTATTCTGAACTATTCCCAAACTTGGGATCTCACCATGTATCATGATGTGAATTTTGAGCTGACTGATGACAGTAATGCCAATACAAAAACAAAACATCAAATTTTACAAAATTCAACTCAAAAATTCGAACACACCCATGTGTTTCAAGGACCAACCTGAACCTCTAGGAAGCAATAAAATGCGTTTCATTCAAAAAGAAGCGAAACAAGAGGCAAATATCAATGAATCTTTTTCTGTAACTTCAACTATGTGCTAGCAAATGGAGGATATCAAGGAAGAAAAAAAATGAGCAAACTTAGCCCCCTTTAAGGGCATACGGGTCTTTACAACTTTCAACTTATGGGCAGGTAAATTGGGAATCACTATCTTCATATATAGATAGTCACAAATTCTATTATTCAGAATATGATATAGAACCAGCCACTTCTTAAAGGTAGATTATAATTCACTTAGATCACAGCACACTGGTTATTAATTCCTAATAAATGATCACTTTTGCACATAATTATATTAGCATTGAATCAGCATAATTATAAGCACTGTTTTCAGCAAACCACATGGGAAAAGGACCCTGAACTTTGCCTCAACAACTTTCTCTAATTTCTCTTTCATTTGCCTCTCACCCCCTTTTCTACCAGTTGCCATTCATCAAGGATAGTTTGTTCATGATAACAAAGGCAACTTTGCCCACACCACACAGCACACACACACCCTAATACCCTCTTAATTAATTCAGACCACCTTCTCATGTTCTAAATATCCATATACTGGTAGATCAAGGGAAATTTGATTTTCCAGATGATCAAGTAACAATCAGCCTTGCAAATAAGTTTATAAAGAATGTAGGTCTCACCACAGTCCAGATGCACAGGTAGGTGGTACATTATAACGCTGCAGAAGGGAGCTAGCTGAGATAGCGAGGCTCGTGGTGAGTATGCAGATAGCAAAATTGGCTGAAGCACTTTGCCCTGCCAGGAAGTAAAGGATAGCTGCAGAGTTGATTGTTAAAAATATAGACAAATGTTTACCAACACATAATTTGGTGAAAATGCATGTGTGTTGCAATCACCCATCTCCACAATTTCAGCTCCCATGGAATCACATAGTGACAGTGGTTTGGTAATGTAATTTCAAAGACATATTACAGACTTGTAAAACTGTGGGGTTTTATTCATTCTGACACACAAACTCGAGCCATTCTTGAGAGGGAATTCCCTGTGTATCTTTAAAATTTGGTAGGATAAAATCATTTCCCCACAGAACTTTTTTCCTTTGATGCTAAAACAGAATAACAGAATGAAAGATTTAAAAAAAATTGATTTGGTGTCTGCACTCATTAAGTAATACATTAACGATCAAAACAGAACAAAGAACTTTTGTTATTAGTTTCCCTAACAGTTTAATGTTTAAGTGTTATTGATAGAAATTGCATGCCCCTATCTTAAAAACTCAAAAGTTTCTGCCCATACTCAGAATGGCCTTAAATGGGACACGAGCTGCAATTGAAATCTATTTCTGAAGGGTCTGCTCTTACAGCAGATACAAGTTAGTTTCTATCAGTAATTGGTTGGTTTCAAAACATTTTTTTTTAATTAAGGAACTTAATAGTATTCATAGTACACCTAAAATATTCCTGAAGGCAGAACAAGTTTTGCCATATGATCATATAAAATTCCAAAACTGTTCTTCATTTTTTTTTTAACTTCAGTTTATAAGGCAAGGATTCAAGCATTTGATGTCCCAGTGTCTGCAGATGAGTCATAACAGTATCCTCCCCGCACCCACCCCAATGCTTTCAGACTACCTGAGTAATGTCAATGAAATCTCTTTTGAAAAGACAGACTGAGATTCAGATGGCAAAGAATATGTTAGTGGGGGCCAGGCCACAAACCCACCTCTTTTGTAAAGAGGATGTAAAAGTGACTCCAAGTTCTGAGTCAAGAACAGAAAAGTCAGTTTTAACAGAAATGCTGTAAAAAGTAAACGTGGCTATTATTCTTAATAAGTTACATATTGGGTATTATTCTTTAAAAATGAGTCATAAAATATCATTTTAAGTACTTAAAGTCATGAATATTCTGCTTGAATGTAATTTTTCATTTTCCAGGAAAGGATACATTCTCTAACAAACCCTGTTAACGTACTTACTCATAAAAATACCAAAAACATCCCTGACATCAATCCCTCCACAAACAAATGTATCCAAAGGCATGCACAAGTGATGTTCCATTTAAACAGCCAAGCCACCAGTTCTTATTTAAAAGATTCCCTAAGATCCCTATAATATCTAGCAGTGAAATTTACCACCCCCCCAAAAGCATTCAAAGTTTGCAAACAGTCAAGCTGCTGTTACAGTAACTCACTTCTCCAGCCTCACATTTCTATTCCAAAGTATTAGCTAGTAAGCATGGAAAAATAAAAGTTGCCTGTTCATTTAACCATATTTGTTGCATCTTAAAACAGAGATTAAAATGAAAATGGCTTCAATATTAAGACAATCTTTTTTTAATCCTACTCAAAATAATTATCTGGTAAGATTAAAATCAGTGAATCATACCTAATTAAGATTTATAATTTAGCATCATTGAGGTATGTGATCTGAGAGAAAGTGTTTATTCTTAATTTCAATTTAAACAGGGAAAAGAGAAAAGAATCCAGTGGGGGGGGGGACCTACTGCAATCAGAGTAGCTTACCATAGTACCACATATTTAACAAGATTTGAGGTTTAATTATTTTTGAAGCCAAACATACAATATGAACATATAATAAAAGATAGGAGTAAGCTAAAGAGAGAGAGAGAGAGAGAGAGAGAGAGAGAGAGAGAGAGAGAGAGAGAGAGCAGCCTTGGAAGTGTATTACAGAAACTGTAGACAAAACACAGCAGAAGACTGAGAAATATGAATTGATGAGCACCCAACTACAATATCCCACATTTACAATGTCCTTCGTGTAGACGATCCCTAATGGGTGGGTTAAAATACTTCTTTCCAGCTTCCTTTCTTTAGAGTATATATATCAATGGAGAGAACAACCCCTCATTGTTACTCAGAAGGAAGGCGTTTCTTCCCAGGACTCTATAGTATTACGACAAAGTCTCACAAGGCATTCAAAATAAGTTCCATTTTTCCCTTCCTCTAAAATATCTTTAAAGCCCCCTTCTCCACCCCAGGCTTGGGTTACATGAAAGAAGAGTGGCTTTTTCCCAGCTCTTTGATATCTTCTTCCTTGCAAGAGTGATCTGATGTAAGAACTCCCTTTTGAAAATAAATGGCCCAACTTCAAGTGTGCTCAAACCCACACTTGCTGCCATTCCATCATACCTCAGTTTTTATCTGAAATGCTGCTTGGCTTCAAGATGTAGTTTGGGTTATCCCAATATAAAACATCTTACTGAGAGCAGTTCAGTGGGAAACAAGAATTTCAACGACTTTGCTTTGTTTTTGTTTACAGGCCATTTGCAAATAATGGACAAACCAAAGTAGAAAAGTGGCCACACCTAGTGACTACAGGTCAGAGTGAGAAAGGGTATTTCAATGCAAGTGCAAAAAGTAACATCACAATTTGAATGAGATTACCATAAACTGCAGGGCTTACGATTCCTGCACTAAAGAATAGTTGTCCTCTTCAACATTCCTGTCACCACAGTTGTGTAGCTACAATGCTACATCCTCATGTCAAAATACCAGTACTGATACTAACATAATAAGGTGATTACTTTTGTGTTGTCCTTCTTCCCTGATTGTCCCTGGATGAGCTGTGGTTTAATTATTTTTAATGGTCAGAATTTTAGATACATTTAGAAAACTTTAGATGTCTTGACCCTAGGAAAGGGTAGAGGTGGTACAAGGCAACTAAAAACCATCCAGGCTCTTATTACAAACCTCTCTGCAATAATTCCTCCGTGCCTAGGGTATACCCACTTAACCATGTACTACCTATGTACACATAATCAAAACCACCAAGTTCCTGTGAGCACAAGCAATCATGAGATAGAACAAGAACAAGAGAATATGAGATTAAAACAAATAGATCAATTCCAGGGTAAAAAATGGAAGTACCCAAAGGCCTATTATTTTATCTGTTCTTTTTAACAACTCCCATTAGTATCCTTTTAGGCAGAGCCAAATCGAATAAATGGAATAGCCAGTCTCCAAGTTGAAAACCAGTGATTTCCCCAAAGCTGTCCCTTAATACACTTTGTACACAGTAAAGCCAAGTGTAGCCTCATTGCCCTGTGACCTCAGCAGGCTCAAGAACCCCAACAGACGGGCTTTGCACTTGCTGGAATGCTCTGTTGTGACTGTCTTAAAATTATGAATAATCTTAAAACAAGCTATCTCATGTGATAATTGTGTGATGGTCCCTATAAATGAGGAAAATGCTCCTAGCTGACGGCCACAGCATTTGTAGATGAATAAAATATAATGAAGAACAATACAAAGTTTCCTTCAATGTACTGAAAGCCATGACTACACATAGTACTGCTTTTTAAATCTAATTCCACATGTTACTGTTTCCCTGCATAATACTTTCTCGGGAACTAATGCAGGAAAGGAAAGTACAGGTCATTCATTCTCCGAGGAGTTACAGTCACACATGCAAAGCATTCAACTGTCAATGATTTTTAAAGCATCAAGTTGATATAAGTCGAATTAGTTTATTCTGGAAAAACAAGGAGGGCTTCTGTGGGGAAAATAAAATGCATGTTCTGTTCCCTCACCAGCAATATTTCTATAAACTACTGTGACAAATACATAAATCAATAGCAGAGACCAAGGTCCGTAGAAAAGAAACTAAGGAGAGTATTTTCAGCATTAAGACACTGAAGGGAAAAAAATTTATGAGTGTTCTAAAATTTGTATTTTGCTCAAAAATATTTGTAAATGATATACTAGTAAATTATATATCATTAATAACTTCCAATAACAGCTATTCATATTATGAAAATAAGAACACAATCTTAACATGGACCAAAATTTCCTAAAATATTTACTTTTTTTTAATCTAAAAAATGACTTTTTTTTCTAAACAAAAATAAACGAGTTAGAGGGCAAAAGAGAGGTTAAACTTGGGCATCCGTATAATAAATGCATTCTACTTTAAAGCTATATCAGTTTTAACATATGATTAGAAGAAGAGATAGTGCAAATGCTAAAATACGAGCAAGCACATTCATTTATCCATCAGTTGACATGAATCCACAAGAACTGAAATATGCCTTTGGAGTGCCTCAGAGAAGCCCTTCACCAACAGTCAACAAGAAACAAAATGTCAATATTCAGCAACAGGACAACAAGCAGATTTATAGCATAAAATATGTAAATGTTATTCACAGAGCATACCAGATGATATCTAGTGTTTTGATGGCTTCGGATCAGTTATCTGTTTCGCCTCCTCAATCTGAGTGACCACTAGTCAACAGGTATCCAAGGGGCATGCCAGGGCTGGGCTGGTACCTGTGGTTTTAGCCTAAAGAACCTGGCATACCCACCTGCTTTCAGTTTGCTTTAAACCTGCACGTACCATACATCTTCACCATGCTTTGCCAACTCTTTATTTTCACTATTTATTCTATGCTTATCTTGCACTATATGTCCTTTAGTAAACAATTTAGTTATTTAAATGGCAGCAGCAAAAACAAGAATTAGTAGTCAGTGTTCCTGTCAAAGAATCTTGTTTGAATTTTCTACCAGAACTTAAATGGAAAAAAAAAAAAAAGATTAAAAATTAGAAACAAAGAAAATTAAATGAGATTAGGAAAAAAAAAAGGAGAGAAGAAAAAGACTGATAAAATTCCAACCATGTAAACATTTACTGAGGATGCCATTTATTTAAATTCTTTATAAGGAAAAAAAAATAACTATATGCCTATGTGTTCATAAGTTATCAATTTTTGGACTTCAGTCTTTCCAGTGGTACCTGAAGAAATAGCTAACTACAAATGACAATAAAACATTAGCCTATGCATATATATATATATATATATATATAATCATGCAACATGTTTAATTGCATGCTCTTCTGATCTATTTGCTTTTTCTAATTTATGGACAACTCAATAGCTAAAATAGTGATAAATAAAAGCTTCTCCACCAGTAATTGCCGTTTCCACAAATGTCTGCAACAATTTTTAGCTACCAAAATATATAAATCAATTTAAATTCTTGGTAATTAAATGTATTATCTCCACAAGGATGCCTGTGCCACTTTATAAAGTGATATATGGAATTCAGGAAGGGGAGTCTATTGATCAAAGGTAAAAGCTGCAGACATTCCTGTTTAAAAAAAAAAAAAAAAAAAAAAAAAAAAGGCTCTGAGAACAACTAGAAAGTTCCAAACAAAAAAGGCCAGCAATTGTGTCTAATACACCTAATAATTCTGCTGATTTGGGACGATTAAAACTGATTACTTAATTAGGCAATCATTAAGCTTCCAAAAACACTGACCGAACCAGGGAGTTCAGAGAGCACACCTTCACCTGGAAATGGCAAACCTGAAACCCACTGCAAACTTTCTGCCTCTGCCTCTCTAGATAGCCTGGGCAAGCTAGTGACATCCAAAGCATGACAGCCTGGAGCTCAGGGAGCAAAACAATTTACCAGTAAGGAAATGATGCACTTCTTCCAGGAGGCTGAATTTCTAAACTATGTTAGACAGAGCAGATAGTCCCGCAGATTGTCTCTGTGGACTCCTCCAGAGGCTGCAGCTCTTGTGCTCTGACCACATACTTGTATTAGCTGAAGATAATTAATGAAATTTCTACTCTCTTGCATGTCTATCAGACGCACCAGCAGCCTACAAAATGCTGGTCAAAGTTCCTCACAGTAAAAACTGCAACAATAACATCGGCAAGAAAATATTCTGCTAAAAGCTCAACTGCAGGAGTCTTGAATATAACTTAAAAAGAGAAAGAAAAAAAAAAAGGAAGAAATTTTGTACTCAGAATAACAGTTAGATGCTGTCTCAAGAACCTCACAGATCCAGTGTGAGAAGAAAAAAATATATATATTTTTTTATGTTTCTTGAAATAATTCCAAAAGATCCTATTTAGGAGAAAAAGCAAAGCAAGTCTACTCACATGTACAGCTTCCAAACCAAAGTCTCACCCTCTTCCAGGAAAACAACAATGAGATTGTATTACCCTGCTATGATTCTTTCATTTCAAACATGATTAATTAGCAAGTATTACACTCCTCAAAGCTCCCACCACTCTCTTGCCTGCTTTTTTTTTTTTTTTTTTTTTTTCTTTTAACAGAGTACATGTAAGAACAAGTGGTCACCAGCACTGTAAGGCAGGTATCCAAAAACTATACCTGAAAGAAATACTTTTCTATCTTTGCTTACAAAAAAAAAAAAAAAGAAAGAAAGAAAAAAGAAAAGAAAAAAAGGAAGAAAGAAAGCAAAACCTCTTTTAGCTGTATTTTCAAAATAGTTTGGGGGGAAAAGCTGGGTCATCATTATAACAATGTTTTTAAATTTTGAATAATGCATGCACTGTATTTAGGAAGATGTGCCATGCTTAAGTGGCACCCCTGTTTTCAAACTGAAACTCCAAAGGACTCTTAAATCTGTATAGTTCATATTGATAACCAACCACATTCAAAATTACTAAACAATAGCAATTGTACATGTTTGGGAACAGAGTTTAAAAGGAAATAAAAAATGAGTGCTTGGCCAAATAAAAGTTAATTTGTCACAATTACAATGAAAATCACCAATGAGAATAAAAGAATAAAGGAACTCAATATTTAAATGAATGAAAACTGCTGACTGTCAGTATCTTCCCAAACACTCTTTCAAAATAATTTTCCTTGTGAACAATCTCTTTTCAAAATGTCCATATTAATCAAGAAGCTGCCCGTAAGTGAAGGTGTTATAATTGTATGGCTGAACAACCATTCATTGATAAAGCTTGAGATTTTACCCCTGAAGCCTTTTCCAACTGTGATGGCTAGGAAACTTCACACATAGTACGGTACTAACAAATAGATCTTGTTGGCTCCGGGAAACAATTTTTTTAAAAAATCTATATTGGTCAAAATATCCTTGTTTTTTCTTCCTGTTGTATTAAATTTAGGATCAAAAGCATCAAAGGAGCTCCCACCTCAGACCTAACTTCCAGAGGATCAATGTGACAAGGCAGTCCCTGATAGATGTTTCTCTTGATAAACGACTTGTTCAAAAGAGACATTGTAGCTTTCATTTCCTGACCACAACACACTTTTAATTTGCAACAGCAGAGCTGCTGAGTGTGGGCACTTGCCCACTTTGTAGCCTTTTAGGTTTGTGGCTCCGATTCCTTTAGGCCACACATTAGAGATAAATAAAATCTAAAATCAATCCAAGTGATAGAAAATAGAAGCCACTGCTGCTCATAAACGCATATATGCTTGTGTCTACTTGCTATACACATGTACGTGTGTGTGTGTGTATTATATGTACACACACACTACCAGATTCCAATGAGTGATAACAAGGCATCTGAACATCATTTGCACACCCGACATTTAAACACACTGAGAAATAAATTATCTGACTATTACTTAATAGTAAGCAAAGTATAGTCACAAAACAATTTACATACTAAAATTTGCTGTTACATGCCTTCAATGATAATGTTGTCTATGCCTGTTTTTACTTATTATTGCAATAATAAGTATTACTCCTATCCAGAAACCATGTGTAAGTATCAATACGGTGAACAGTCAAACCATCCAATTTCTGCTCTCAGCACATTGTCCAAGCTCCGATTTAAAATTTATAAATGTAATATCCTCCTGATCACAGGCAGCAGCCCAATCTGCTCTGAATATATATTACAGCTTTAACATCACAGAGGGAAATCGCCCATCTGGCAATCCCATTCGCTCCAACAGCTCCAGGGGAAAAAAAAAAAAAGCTGTGCTCTCTCCTCCTTAAAACATTTCTCAGGGCAAATTATGTGCATCTAAAATAAACAGTCTTCTTATTGATCGATTCAAAGTCAACAAGTTCCAAATGCAAAATCCAATCACATCCTTCCTATCCTGCAAGTGTGGTGTGTGTTTAGTCCTACAGTCAGCAGAGCCCAGGCAGAAGTGCATGCCGCACTACGAGTGCTGAAGTCCCTTTCCTAGTATTCTCATTTGTGTTATGAGAAAGCGCTGACCAGGGCCACACTACAGACGCCTGGCAGCTTTGCCCCTCTCTCATCTCTTCTTTTATTTCTCTCTCCCTCCTTGCATACTTTTAAAGAGAAACCCATACCATGGGATAAATGTAACAACGACAAGAAACAGTTTAAAGTGCACATATTCTTTGGTCATGCAAAGTACTTTCACATCTTTTTGTTGTTGTCCTCTTCTAGTCTTAACTGAATATCACAAAGTATACACACAGTATAGCCATGAGAGCTATTCAGAATCCCCCTCACTCCATTTAACTGACTTTATTATTTTTTTTTTTTAAAGAAAGAGGAAAGAGTGATTTCATATAAAGTCAATCCAGTGCCTGATTATTTAATTCTGTCACAGGTTAAAAGTAAAAAGTGCTGACAGACAGACAAGTGAATGGCAACAGGAGAAAAACTGCCAGTGTTCTTTCTAAGATATTAAAGACTGGAGTTATCAAAAAAAAAAAAAAAAAAAAAAAAAAAAAAAGATAGGCACTTACACATCTTATTATCATTTAAAAGATACACCTTCACTCACTCACCCAAAGGGGGGGGGGTCCATACAGAAGAACCGATTACTACATAAAGTGCAATCCAGAGAGCAGGCAGTCAAATTCCATTAATAGGTCGAGAAAAAAAGAAAATCCCATCCTGTCCTGTGTGTGTACATACACACACACACACACACACACACACACACACACACACACACTCATTAGTTAACAATCTTTGCCCCACACTCTCCATCCAGCTGTCCCCCACCCTAAAACAACAACAACAACAAAAAAATCCCACCCTGAGTTAAACTAATTTACATACCATTTGACTTCAGCCCTATAGAGAGCATTGCTAGAAATATGCAACTTTAAGATTAGAGCTAAAACCATTGAAAAGTGTCCTGCCCACAAGTAATGTATTAATCAAAACTAAAATACATAAACAAGTGATAGCAAAATCAAAAAAAAAGCATAGTGCAGATTAAAATAAACAGATATAGACATATTTTAAAAGAACTGTACATCTGATTCCCAAGCAGTCTCCAACAGTTTTATCATGCTATTTAATGTGTCTTCCCTATTTAAATGCAAAGGAAGTAAATTCCAAAACTGACATACCATAAACACTGGTGCTACTGATCATTTCTTGCTGGTAGCACAAAAAGCTGAATTGGATTTCTCACAAGCAGGAATTCCAAAGGTTGCTTTTCATTAAAGCCACTTTTCCTCTCAGCTATCAAATGTCACTGCCTTGAAACGTGGGCCCTTTCGTCAGGTATTCATTTAACCTACATGCATATAATTAAGGGGGAAAGCAACATCAACAAAAAGGGGATCTCAGATCACAGGAGAAGAAAGAGAGGAAAAAAAGCACATGACCAGGAATGCAAGTCCATGTCAATTTCACTCACTCCCATTGAAACTAACAAGAGCTCCGGGGAGGACGGTAATAGGATCAGTGGATTGTATATACCATTAAATTATACATCTTTCTCTCCCGTTCCTTGCCAACAATACGCCCACCACGCTGTACCCCCTCCCGGATGATGTGCTTACATTTTTCTGCAACCGATCCTCTGACATTTTTCTCGATCCCCCAGCCACGAGATTGTAATTTAACCTCAACTTTTTGTGTGTGTGTAAGATTCTTATTTACACTTGGTATTTACTTAGAAGTTAGTTCCCGAAGAAAGTCTAGCCCCACCCAATGGCTCCGCTTTCTTATTTTTTATTTTTTGAAGTAAAAAAAAAAAAAAATAGTAGTAAGTAAGCCCAATATCGCGAAAAGCGAGATTCTTGCAGTCACGAACTCTTAATCCCATACTATTGTTACAATGATTAAGCTGCAGAAATATGCATCATAATGTTTCAGGGCTACTTTGTAAGGAGAAATTAGACAGCAGGTTGGCGTACAGGATAAGAACGAATGCAAATTAAATTTACTGTTTACGGCACAACTCAGAAACCTCTTCTCACTACAGGTCTTGGGTCTATCTATATTCTTTAAAAATAAAACAAAAACAAAAAATTTAAACAGATGGTAGAAAACTACGAAGCTCTCCTTACCTGGACGTGCGGAGCGAGCTCCCAATAGGTTAGCGTAGCATCGATCCGATGTGTTTGCTGATGAATGGAAGCTAGGGTTAAGTGAAGGTGCCTATGATTTGAAATCATTCCAAGTTTTTGAAGGGAAGACGGACTGCAGCCTCTGCCATGTTGGAATTTCAAACCCAAAACAGCTGCTTGGAAGGAGCCAGCATGCCAGAGGCTGAGCGCAGGCGCAGAGCGCCGCCGAGCCAAATTCAAATCACTTTCACACTAAGAGCCAAAGATCAGTTTTCAAAGGAGAGAGGGAGAAAGAGACGCAGGCGGCCGCGCGGCCAGGCGTCGGGAGGCAGTGGCGAGAGGCGGGCGTTGGAGCGCGGCGGTCCGGGAGCCCCGGGAGGGAGCGGCGGCGCGGGCCGGGGCTGCAGGGGGAGCGGAGGCGGGAGGCGGCGAGCGGAGCCCGGCCGCGGGCAGGGAGGGCGCAATGGCCGGCCGCCGGGTCATGTTACACGGCCCGGGCCTCGGCGGCCGCCCAGCCTCACAACCGCGCTCCCGCGGCCCGGAGGGGGCCCCCGAGGTCATGCCGGCGCTCGGGGACGCGGAGCCCGGCCCAGCCCGCGCGCGGGGAGCGACGCCCCCGGGAGAAGCGGGCCTGGGTGTCCACGCGCGATCGCGCGCCCCCGAGGGCCCCTCCCCGGCCCTCCGGCCACCGCCGCAACCGGGTCAGCCCTCCCCCAGCCCCCTCCGCGGCGCGCACGGGACGGGACGCGGAGACGGGACCACCCCCGCGCCCTGGTCCCCGAGGTCCCCAGTACCAGCCAGAAAATGACTTTATCTGCTAGGGAAAGGCAAGTTGGGGAAGCAGATCAGCGTGAACCCACTTCTCCGCAGCTGCCTCCCCGCGAATAAATAAAACCCTAAGTGTCTAGATGTGCGGTCCCCTCTCCAGCTCCCCGGCTCCCCTCCCTACCTCCCCCAGGCGGCTCGGGCAGGGGAGAGCAGCGCCCGGGGGGCCCTCGGTGCGGGCTGCTGGTGCTCAGGCAGGGACCTGGGGCTTTAGCTTTCCCAGCCCCCCGCTATGGAGCAATCTAGGGACCCAGGAGAAGGAAGAGAGTCGGGGCTTTGTGGTGCTGGGAGCTGAGGAAGAATGAAATGTGCAGTTGAGTGTGTGGCTCGCATCCCAGGGAGCAGTGCCGTGCTGATTGTCTGTGGCTGAGATAGCCTTTTGTTCGCAACATAAGGTTTAAGAAACACACACACGTTTTCTGGGGTCTCTTGTTAGATGTAAATGTGCTTGCATCCAGACGCTTACTATGCAGTGTAAGCTCAGTTGGTTTACTAATCACCCCGCCCCACCCCCAAACAATCAGGATCATTTGAATGGAAACCTCATTCAGACTTCTAGGCTGAGAGGATTGCCTTCAACCTATTTCATCCTAGACTAGCCAACCATCCAACTGAGATAATAAAGCAAACAATAACATTTGATCATGATGTCTACGAGATAATGTGCCCCGGCAAAGTTCTTAAGGAATTGTAATGAGAGAAAGACAGAGTTGGGTAATAATTTCTCTTCATTTTCATTAAATATGACTTTAATAGATAAATGGTGAGTTTATACTTTGGCCTGGTGGACATCCAGTCCTCTATATTTCAACTAAACTAAGAACGAAGGAAGCAAATTATACATTCGACCAAGAGGCCATCGAGCTGAAAATGTTACCTTTGAAGGTTGGAGCTGAAAATGCGCTTGTTTAGGGCGAATGCCCTTCCTAAGTGTCCGCTATTCTGCCAGCTCCTCGCTGGGGCTTTACCAGACTGAATTGCTGCTTTCATAAAAGGCCAAATACATATAGAAATTAATTTCATTCTTCATTTGAGATTTTCTTGCATCTCAATAGATGTATTCCTCACAATAAAAAGAAAATCAAATGGTTAAACCTGAGCAGATGACAATTCGAAAGCAAAAAGAGTGACCTGAAAAAAAAGTAATATTTGTAAAGAATGAAATTTCTATTTGGAGTTGATTTTGACCTTGCACTTAAAACAAAACAAAACTAAAATTGAAATTAAAGTAGAACTTTATTCTGAGGCAGCAGAGAACACCGAGATGTTTTTCTTTACATTTTAGGACACAACATTTGAAAGGTTACCAAGAAAAGTTGTTCATTGAGTTTTATCACAAAGAAATAAATGTAGGAAAGTATTTGTGGGTCACTGTTGGAGAATGTGCAGGTGATTTTTTTTTATAATCTTCAAATAACTCTTAATTTCGTTTATTACCCATTTGTGGGGTGACACGCTGAAGTATCATGTACATATAGATGCTCTTGTGTGCCAGACAGGCAAGACAGCTCTTTCCCTGTCTACTGAAAACAAATGAAGATCTAACAAGTAATCAATCTTCAATGTTAAACTCCTAGGACTGAAACTAGTTCCTGATATATATATATATATGCATACACTGGACATAAATACAATGCATTGCAATGACAAACTTAAGGCAATTCACTAGTGTAATCTAAAACAAAAGAGTCCTTAGCCTTTATAGGGGAAAGGGAAAAGTATGATGAGGAAAAGTTCATTAATAGATAATAGCTAGCACTTCTTCAATTTCCTTATGTATTTCATTGAAATATTATTAAATCCATTGTTCAACCTACCAGTAAATATAACTTAAACTGTGAAGTTACAAAAATGGGAACCTCTTCAACAGAGCACACTGAATATATTTACAGAGTTTTAAATTGTCCAAAATGTAATATACCCCAGAGGAAAAGAGTCTCACATAAAAGCATACACATTTATGGAGTCACAAATGCAATAACAATTCACAGAAGACTTGTACAGAATGATTTCTAACTTTTACATTTTTATGTAAGCAAAAGTTACTTTTCTCCAATTACTTTGTATAAAATAAAAAAAATGTTTTTCAGAAAGGCTTCATGGCTTTGCCGCCATGTATATATTTTTATAACACCCCCTTTAGGTGTGTGCTAAGAATAAATAGCATTGTAGTAGCCATAATATTCCATTCCCATTCATCATTAAAACCTGCACGTCTTGTGTGGCTGCAACTGATATCCTTCCCTATAATATGCATTACATAACTTTTCTTGCAAAACATCAGAATTAAAAATTGAGCATGGATTGATCTTTTAATCAAGGCAACAGTTAATTCGGGAGGAGCCAAGAACTCACTTTTCCTGTTGTGTTTGTGACACTCTGTATTTCATCTTTACTTTTTCAACTGTGGAGACATCAAAGCATAAACAATTTTATTTGAACAAGTTGCATTTCTATGTGGTATATCCTGGCCAGGGCTTTTTACGACAATCAGAAGGAAAGGAGCCTAACTATTCTCTTTGAGGATCGGTATGTGACCTACCATATATGTCAGTACATATGGGTATGTTTCTCAAACTGCAAAAGAGCCCTACTTTCCCTCCTTGTCTTCCTCGAGGTAGTATAAGCTATAACAAAAGTGGAAAGTAATACAATAATGGAGATAACTAAATGTGATTTTGCAGATGGCTGTCTCCTGACTGTCACTACACTAAAGGAGATCGAAGCTAGGGAAGGAATAGGATGGGTATTCATGTCACAGAGAGAAAAGCAAGATGACCTCAGGTACAGGTGGGAAGAAGGAAACAAATAGTGGATACTCAACAGAAACGCAAGCATGGTGAGCTAGTGTATACAGTTATCATGTTATACATGATTGAAATTTTAACTACTATATTTTAATTTGAAACTTAGTCTTAATATATTTTCATAAAATGGACAAGTATCTCCTTCTAAACTATTTAGTAGCCACTCATTAAACTCTAAGCAATCTTATTTTGCTTTAAGCAAGTCTACCAGTAACAAAATTGTCATGCAATAATTGTAATGCATATTTAAAATTGAAGATTACTTAAAGGATCATTATCTGCACTTGAATTCATCTAAGGTGATTCAAAAGTTTTTTAATACAGCCCCCATGAGAAGCCAGCATAGACCTTGACCTTATTGAGTAATATTACTGAAATTGTTCAGAATTACACTTGAATGAAGACACTGTCAAATGGGGCTAGGATGCTTTATGTAGACCCCTACTGACCCAGCCCATGCTAGGGTGATATTCACTTGAAGTATGATCTTACCTATGCAGAGATGTATCCTTCAGGCAATACATGATAGTTTATATTTTTCAATTTTTCATTCACATATATTTGAAGTATCCATATGTTTGATTGCAACTTCCAACTGTCTTTTCATGGTTCTCAATTTTATTCAAAAAGTGCATACTAACTACTTTAATATGGCTAAAGATACAGTGCTAAATGTTTCAGAAAATTTAAACAAAACTGTTGTTAACATTTTATGGATAAAATCAGGTAAGTATAGCTCAAAGTGTAAGTTGGAAGTGCATTTATAAAAGATTCTGTGCAGAAGGGAAAAAAGGAGTTTTGTTTTGCTTTCTGTTCTGTGAGGGGGACAGTTTCTTTGGACTTAGTGGTCTCATTCATCTTCCAAAGCATAAACCACTGCAGTGTGTACCTATTACCCTCTCTCCCCCCTCTGTTTCTCTTGCTTCTGTCTTCTGATTTTGTCAATTGCCCCTTCCTTTTGTGTAATCTAATTTGATTTATATTTTCAACATTTACCTTCTCTAATTTAGGGACCAGTGTTACGGTTCTCCTCAAAAACTCTATCTTTATGCTTCTTCACATCTGTTTAAAAGAACCTCTGTGTTTGACACAGCCATCCATCTTCACTTTTCTTAACCAAATGTCTTAATTAACACTGAAACTTGTAGCTGTTTGTGAGAAATGAATGATTCAATGGCAGAAGAAGTAGAGGTGAACAGAAAACAAAAACTGTGTGATGTTTGCTAGAAACTGGTACTATGGTCTGCCTGTATCTCCACGACACATGAATTGAATGGGAAATGTGTGCGGAAATGAAAAATGGTGATGTATAGTGGAGTAAACTGGAGTGGGGTAATAGCCAAGAGGTCTGCATTTCAACAGGTAGGCAACAAGAAATTCTGAAAGGGTCCAAAATAAGGGATTTATGTGGTCTTAACTCTGCATTGAGAAGATAGAGCTAACATAACCAGAAATAGGGAAACTGGCTGTAAAGTTATTGTAAGTATCTAACATTTTCTAGTCCCTCAAACTGTCAATGTTTCTGGAATGTTCAGTGATATGCTTCCTTGCCTCTTTTTTTTTTTTTTTTTTTTTTTTTTTTTTTTACAGAGGGTATATTTGTATTGATTGTTCAATACTCCACATCTATTATATAGTATTACAAAATGTCAGTGTGTTTAAAGGCATTCATTTAATGTCAAAGATATAAAAAGGGACAATATATTGGAATTAAACTTTTTTACCCTTAAGCTGAACGTAGTCTTCCTACTCATTATTCTGCTTCCCTCTTTGCCCAGCACTTTACAATTACTTCTAAGCTTAAGCTTGGAAGAAATATCTTTTTAAATAAAAGTAATGGGCAAATAGAAGGGGAATTCTTCCCTGGCATCTGTCTGTTTAAACAAAGCAAGCAAAGTGAAGTTGGTTCTGAAACACTGAATACAGCACAGATGCACATTTCTTCATTTGGAGTATATTAAAGTTTCTTAAACGGGGTTTTTAATTCATTTAAGACAGCATTAGGTTAGGTGGGCTGTTGGTGCTTTGAATTAATGTGCAAGCTGTTAATCTCCATAGACCTG